AGTAGTTTAAGCTGTCAGTGATTGCATTGCACATTATGGTTGTGCTCTGTAAGTTAAAAACAAGTTACAGCTTTATTGTTTTGAGAGTCTGGGGGATGTGTTGATTAACAGTAGTTTATAAGCTGTCATTAACTGCATTGCACAGGTTGTGCTCTGTAAGTTAAAAACAGGTTACAGCTTTATTGTTGACAATGTAACTTTACAGTATTATTTAGTTAACTTTACACTGGGTTTGAAACTCAACAGGGGTTGTTGACTTACAGTAGTTTATCAGCTGTCATTAATTGTAGACGCATTGTACATTAGGCTATATGGTTGTGCTCTGTTAATGAAAAACAGGTTAACAGTATTCCTTATAGCTATGAAGTTTTATTAGCAACCTGGATTGAACGCAGCAGGTGATACAACATTCGTAATAACCACGAGAGACTTGAGACTTGACTTGGACTCTTGCTCAGAGACTTGAGACTTGACTTGGACTCTAGCTCAGAGACTTGAGACTTGACTTGGACTCTTGCTCAAAGACTTGAGACTTGACTTGGACTCTAGCTTAAAGACTTGTTAGCATCTCTGCCTCGTTGACCCTGCCTTTGACTGTGAGATACATCCTGTAGCAGCAGTAAACCTCACCTCTGTTTCTCAGAACCAGTCAAGCTCCAAAAGCTTGGAGCGTTTCTCCAGGTACAACACTCTCCTCAGAGCAATAGCGCATCTTATCCACATAGCCTCATCCTTCTGTCGCTCCACAGAAAGTAACTGCCAAGGATGGCACATTTGCAGCAACGGCCCATCTGGAGAGAAGTTAGAGAAAGCCAAGATCTTTGTGCTGAAGAGTACACAACATGAGGCTTAGGCCCCGTGTCCACCAAAGTGTTTTTTTCTGACGCCAGCGTCTTTTTTTCAATTAATTCCAATGAGAGCATTTTTCACATTTTTCACATTTTTCCAAGCTGATAAGAACGCTAACAGCGTTACGAGGCGCTGAGCGTCTTTTCCGCGCTGAGCGCTGAGCGCTGAGCATTCCGGTCACCAAGAGTTGAAAAATGTTCAACTTTGGGAAAAACGCTGCGCTCGTCACTGTTACTTTTTACTCAGCTGTCCAATCACAGTAGAGGAGGGGTGGGACAAACACTGCACCGAGCACATCCAATCTTGAACGAAACGATGTGCCTACTCGCCGAGGTGTTTCCTCGCCCGCAAAATCTCATGAACCCGCGTACGGACAGTCTGTGCGCTCATGTTTCCGCTTTCTCTTCATGCAGAGCAAGGGCCAGAGCAAGTAGGCCTACATACTTTGTGGTGACATTTTTACATTCACTAAAATTAAGTAGGCTACCCTACTTGCAACACATCACCTCCACGGAAACTATGTATCATAGCAACCACAGCGTCTCGAAAAAAAACACTGCGCCTCTAAAACGCACCCCAGCGCTCCCAGCTAGGCATTTTAAGAACAGCAGGTGGTGTTTTCAGCTGGCAAAAAACGCTTTGGTGGACACGGGCCCTTACATGGCAGAACTAAAGAGCCTGAAAGCAGAGTGTAATCTCCCATTGAAGAGCCCCCTCCATAAACTGCACCCTTTTGTTGATACTAATGGACTCTTGAGGGTTGGGGGTCGCATCATACAGACCAAGCTGGAGCCAGGTGAAGTGAACCCTATCATCATCCCAGGGCGATACCATGTGGCAACTTTGATTGTGCACCACTATCATGAAGCTGTGAAGCACGGAAGGAGCTATCAGAGCTGCTGGATTTTTGCTGGTTGGCGCAAAGAGAGTAATAAGCAGTTTACTTTTCAAGTGTGTCACTTGCAGAAAGCTGCGCAGAGGGTAAGAGGACCGACTAAACAAATACGGCCAGACTGTGGCACGAACTTTGTTGGAGCCTGTTGAGAGCTGTAGCTCGAAGAACCAAATCGCAGTTTGGAGAGTACCTGAAAGTACCTGAAAGAGAGCAGCTGCACATGTGCGCTGAATGGTGATGATTGGAATAGCTCGCATTCTTGGCGCCATGCTTCTGGAACACAAGTCACACCTTACTCATGAGGTTCTGACCACACTCATGGTTGAAGTTACGGTTGTCATGAATGCCAGGCCTCTCATTCCAGTTTCGTCAGACCCAGAATTGCCCCTTATCCATACTCCAACAATGCTTCTCCCTCAGAAGACTGGAGCTGCACCTCCACCCCTAGGCAAATTTGGGAGCAAATCTCTTCTCAAAGAAGAGTGGAAGCAAGTCCAAAGTCTGGCAGATATGTTTTGGTGTAGGTGGCAATGGGAATACCTGAGCACCTTTTAGCTACTTAGCTATATACAGTAGCTTTTGTTGACTGTACTGTAACGCTGTTACTGATATGTATTGTTGTATGTGTTTCAGTTTCACAAACTTTATTGATAAACTCCACAAATGGCACAGTGTCTCCTGTGGCTTTATTGATGATTGTTCAGCTGGCTGGCTACGGAGTTAGTGAGACCAGTGACAGCCACTTGGTCTCACTACAGATAGAATTGTTTGACTTATGATTGAAATATAGTTTCTTAGGCAACATGTGATGCATTTTTTCCTTTCTAATTTCAAACCACTATGGTAATACAGCTAGCTAAACATTGGCTCACTTGGGTGGGGTGGGTTGTAACACTTCTTTAAAAAGTGTTTCAACCATCCATGATACATAAAACTAGGTACTTTCTTGATTTTAATATTGCCCTATGCAGTCTGGGCCCACCAAGCCAGCACTCCAGGGTTACCAACATTAATTTTCCAGCACTGTGACCAGTACTCCCCATTCACATGTTGCCATATGTATTGTCACTCGACCTTTTCCATACTCTCTGCCGGTGGAGAGGGTCGAAAAGTGTATGGGCAGCTGAGAAGTGCCTGTGTGCAAGAAAAAGTCTCGGTACCCCAAACAGTAAAATATAGAAGTGCTGGTATACGTGGGTGCTTTGTATAAACATTTGAGAACTCTAGCTAAACAATTCAGTGAGTTATAGTTACTGAAGCAAAAAGTGTTACAACCATACCCGGTCTCCCCTAATATAACAACTGCCATTAAAAACAGTATTAAATGAATAATATAAATTAAATTAATAAAAAATTGGGGACTGCAACGGTACCTAAGCTGTGTTATGGGGAGGAGATAAAAAACAAAGCTGAAAATTTGGATAGGCTGTTGGACACGGGCTAGGGCCTGGGATAGTCTACCAGAAACATACAATTCCACTTCTAAAAATGTCATAGAAAAATAGATGTTATTCTTGAATCTGAACATTGAGTCATATGGAAGACACTTTAAACTATGGGAAACGCATATTGTGCCATTTCAGTATGTTTTTATTCTTCAATAAAATACATTTTTAAAAGCGTTTCACTCCTAAATATTTGTCACAGACAAATTTGTATATGTTAGAATGGTTTTTATAATGAATTATTTTGACACAAATAGTATTTTCTTATTGATTACATTTCCCTGATTCTATCTAACATTGTATTATAATTTCTTCAAGAAATATATGCAATGTTTTGGTCAAATGTAGTGAATGGAAAGCACAGAATAAATACCAGGCACTCATATATTTGTAAAAAAAAACAGTTATGTTCAGCCAGTGACATATAATAATGACATATAAGTCATAAGAAAATGACTGACAACTGAGACCAAAGATATCTTTAATTCAATAGATATAGCATAGTAGTTTTTCAGTTTAGTTTAGAAAAGGCTTTCTTGAAACAGTTGACAAAACAGTTTACCACTAGATCCACTGTGCTTTCATTCATTTCACATGATCTTCATCAGCAAATACTGTAGGGTTTACCAGCTGCCTTAAAATTAAAGATATTAAAATGATACATTAAGGATGAAAATTATCATTTAGATTTAAATGAGAGAACCATAATTCTTTGACAACTGGCAAAATCAATTTGCTGATGAGGATCATATGATCAAAAGCACTAAACTGAACAGCTACTTAATGGATGTTGAGGTGAGATTGTTTTGTCAACCTAATCAAACAAGTTTTAACACTAAGCCAAAGTGAAGTATATTTGGATCCTGCAAGTGTCCTGGGTCTTGTATTCTGGACTAGCTATCAGATTTTATTTTTTTCCTTTGCAGACATTAAAGCTGCACTAATGAATATTTATACACATATATAATATTGGATCAAATTATCATGTGTAATGTTAAATATATCACTCATATTGACAAACCCTCAGAGAATTATCACGGAACTCTGCTGTTCCGCTATGCTATAGGCTATGAGTCCTTTTTCTCTTAGCTCATTGTTTTATCGCTATGCCCCACAAAGTCCACTATCATCAACATAGTGTTGTACTCATAATTATTAGTCATTATTATTCAAATCTAATATATATATATTTACAGTATATACAATAAACAAAGTGCAATCTCAAAAGCAGTGCTACATACCGGTAGGTAAAGAGGGACCACATTCAAAACTTGAACTATGAGCATAAAAAGCTTAAAATTTATAGTGTAATGTCTATTTATTCAAATAATGTTTTAGTATGGCATGTGTTAAATACATATTATTTATTGTAAAGGTAATAAAAAGGAACAATGGCATTCATTTGTAAGGCCGTGTCAAAGGGCGGTCACGTCCTGTCACACAAGACTGGGCCTGACGGTCAGCCATTTTAACTGCCATTGCTCAGCCTATTAATAGGCAACCAGCAAAATTGTTAGCATGCAAGCAAGGAATTTTAATATATATAGGCATATTGCACACTTTTTATATACTGTTTTATGTGAACTTGAGGCACAAAAACAAGGTGACATGGTCATGTTTTTAATCAATTGATGGTAATGATAACTAATTTTTTTTAAATAATTGTGTTGTTTTTTTAAATTAACAGTTTTTATCATAAAAAAACTATGAAAGCTGTAACTCAAATTTGGCTCTGGACAGTCCAATTTTCAGAATTTGTAGTTTTCAAAAGTATTTTTGCTAAAGAAAAAACATCTGAGACCCTAATACATGACAAATTACTTTACCGAACAACTGTCAGAAATCAACCATCTAGTCAGTTTTAGACATTTTTGGATTATACACGTTTTATGTACTGTAACAATTCCAGGACAGATAATGTACACTTCTGGTAGAATGTCCCGCCCACATTTGAGGCCTGTGCAGGGCTCTAATTTTTCCAACTAGGCTCCACCCTCTATGTTCAATGTAGATTTACAGATTTTTCACTGACATGGAAGTCAGAATAACGAGTTGAATTTTATGGTGGAAAGATGTTCCTCTAAGGTTTAAATTGTCCTCAACTGCAACCTTTTTTCTGTCAATTTCTAACACTGTGGGGCAGAGCAAGATATTTCAGGAACTAATTGACAGGTTGCCTTAACATTTGCTCTGGATGTTCATGGTACCTAGAGAGTTTGCTGCAGTTTCAGCCAAAACATGTTCATTATGACTGTTGACTTTCTTGTAGTTCTCCGTCAAAATAAAAACAGAATAATATATGACCACCACCTACGAAGAGGTGAGGTCCTGAAATGTTCTCAGCAATCAGTTCTTCTTCTGTAGAACCACAACTGGCACTATAATAACAATAAGTACAGCACAAACAGACAAAATAATTGCAGAAAGAATCATACAAAGTCTTTTTCTTCTGTGTTCTGCCTCTTTCTTCTTCAGTAAAGAGTCAAAGCCTGGTGTGTATAGGTCCTCGAGCCAAAAATCCAGATCTTTAGGAGTCTTCTCTTCCTCCTGCAAAGAAAATGAAAATAGGCTTAACTATGAAACATCACCATGTACAAATATGCCCTGTGCTTTTTGTTGTTGTGTAATACCTATACTAACTGATATGTGTTATTTTGTAACCTACCTGTTCCATTTATTCTCGTAATCAAAACTGAAGTTTGGGAAAGCCATTAGTCAACTGAACTGTGATCAACTGTAATTTAAAACTTTACTTTACAGTTACTTTACAGTTTACTTTTATGGCAGTTAGTTTCCACATTTCCAATGACAAGGATGTGTCCAGAGCAAGGACCGGTCTAGGTTATATGCATGGCCTGAAATTTCTTTTTGGATTATCAATCAGAATGGCTACTATATTTTCAAATAATTTTTCACTAGTAACAGTTTTCTTGAAAATTTGAGCCCCATATGGTTTGACCATGTACTGGATGTAGGATGGGCCTGAGGCATTCGCAGCACAGTAGGCAAGAACTAGTGTCAATCAGATTCGAGCAGCTGGAAGAGTGGTGTAGTGTGGGAGAACTTGGGTAGGTTGAAGACTAGCCGAGCTGCTGCATTCTTGATCAGCTGTAGAGGTCAGATAGCAAATTCAGGCAGACCAGACAGGAGCGAGTTGCAGAAATCTCCATCTTATTTTGATCCTCCTGACCATTCATGTGGAACATGAAAGTGCAGGATTGGGTTGTCACAACAATGTTGACAGCAAAAGAAAGCTGGCCATCCTGTGTCACACCCAGGTTCTTTGCAGTGACTAATAATAATAACAATAACAGAATGGAGTGACTTGTGGTAAAGAGAAAAGTGGAGGGGACCCAGAACAGGGGAGCTTAACAAACCAGTGGCACCCTGTCTGCAAGTGGGTCTGGATGTGTGGGTGAAGTAGTAGGCTGAGGAGAGGGCTGCAGAGGTATTCTCAGTTGTGATCTAAGTCTCAGTTGTCCTTTTTAAACCCATAATACTGCTGTAAAAAAGACCCATCATTAGAACAACTATGCTTTTTTACATTGAATTGCATAATGTTAGCCCAGTCACTGAACAACGCTGGCATAATGTAACACAACAGCATTAGCTAGTCTAGTGTGACGACATATGAGTCATCACACATAGATATTGGTCGAAACAACATTGCTTTGTAAATAATAATAATCGCAGGAGAACTGCTGTAAGCTGCTACCCTTCTTGTTCTTTGAATAGTTAGCTGCTTTTTAAATCCCCTGATGGTGGGTCACACACATAGCACCTATTCGAAATATACCGGAGTAAAAAGCTGGAGGCTAACATGCTGCAGTTAGATGACTATGGCTAGGAGGCTGAATGCTAGCAGACTAGAGCAGTTGTCAATTCCCCTGCAGTTCCAACTAGTACCTAGAGGAAATTTCTATCCGAGTGCCATTGTCAGAACTCTTTGTGCTCTATGCTGGAGGTGCAATAGTTCACCAGGGACTGAATGGTGTAAATCACCTCGTTCAGGCATCTGGTGGACAGCTTGAGGACGGTAGGTCGGGTGAGTTGGGGCAAGAGACAGAATAAATGTAGAGGGCTGGGGATGAGTGTGAGGCTGCAGGAAGGGACTGAGAGGCAAACTGTGACAAAAACAGCACACAATTAGACTAAATCAGAATCCTCAAAAAACTAAGCACATGGAAGTTAAGTGCAGCCAACCTTGAGATCATCACTGCCCACAGCATCTTCCAACCACCCAGTCAGTCCAGCTGGAGAACTGGAGCACTGCAAGCGCTGCGATCGCCCCAGGAAGAGGGGGAAGAGAGCCACGATAAAAGCTAAGATAACCCAGCTTGGACCTAAGTATATACCACTACCCAGCCTACTTTTGGCTAATGTCCGGTCCATAGACTGTAAAAATAAGGTGGACGTAGCCCGCTGAGGCAAAGAGGAGACATCAAGACAGACCTCAACACCAAAAATATGTTGCAAGCAACCCAGACTGTCACAGGCTACAAAAGCAACACATGTGAGGCCAAATTGCCAGATGAGCTTAACACATTTATACTCACTTTGATCTCCTCAAATGTTTTTAATTTACTTAGGTGAAATTGAAGCGTAGTAATGTAGGTCCTCCTTCACTGAATGCATGCATGCTCCCGTGGCCATGGGTATACTCCCTGTCGGAGGGTAATTACCCTAGCACGACAGCGGCAGCATCATTGGTGTGAAAAGGTTTAGTCAACCTTGCAAAGTGAAGCATTGTGGTTCCTTGCAAATCTATGCCTTTATAATTTCAGTTTTTTTCCCGCACATTTATGACTTTAATCTCTCTGACTATTACCCCCCTCTCCTTCATATTTTTCCAAACCAATTCTGTCATTCATTTATATCCTGCTACACAGAAACATGTTTGCTTCCCTTCTGTATTTTTGATTCTTCATCTTTAGGTTTTCAGAGAGGTTTTTGTAATAGCTTTTAGCTTCCTCACACAACACTCCCGCACAAGCTTTTGTTTTACGTTAAATTAATGTATTTTTGAGTACATGTTGGTAAAAGTGTCTTTGTATATTTGTGAGTGTCTGTGTACAGATCATATTTGTATAACTGTATTTATTTTATGCAAACACATAAATAAATAGCATAATAACAATTATTCATTCTATGTATTTTATCGACTGATTGATCACATTTGCATTTCTGGGGCTCCATTAACTTAACTTAGTTTGGGGGCCTGAGGCTAACATTTACTGTTGGGCCCCTATTGACAATCCACCCAGTAATTAATTATCATAAGTGACATGAGGTGAACCTGGAGTGTTTGCGGTCCCTGGGGGTCAGTTCTTAATTCAGCCTTGAGTCCATGTAGCAGTGCCTCAGTAGTGGCTCTCTTACAATAATAACCAGTTTTGCGTGTATGAAGGCAGAGTAGCACCTTTGTTCCTAACATTCTGAAATCAAATTAACAGTCTACACAGTGTATCCCTTCGTCTATCCAGCTGCACCCATCCATCCCCCAAACACACATTCATCCTCAATCATCCACAGCCTCTCTTCCTCTTCACAAATTACCTTTAAATAATCGGCAAGGTTGCTGTGGATTGTTTGCGTGTCATACTCCTTGACAGTCCAGGAAGGCTTGGACTTCTTGTTGTCCACTGCTTCCATCGATCTTATGTCCATGTACAGAGGGTTCCTTTTAATGTTGGACTTCAGAGTGACTGGAGTGATGTGCTTCTCCAGGTATCTGTCCACAAACACCACAGGAGTGCCCTCTGGGGATGGAGGAGACCTGCTTTGAGTATTTATCCTTTGCTCCCTCTGTGTAGAACAAGGAGGCAGGGATTTGTTCTCACCACATCCAGCTTAAGCTTTCAACACTTTCTATAGGGTAGATGACAGTAAGCTTATAGCATTTTTTTGTTTTCTTTAGCCATAGGCCATGTATTTCAAAAATAATTGCACATTTCTACTTTAAGAAAAAGCCCTCTTTTCTGCTTGAGAACTCTCTTTGACTCATCTTTTCTCATCCCTCCTCATCTTTTGCATAACTTCTCTCTGTATCTCATATTTATAATGTTGAAAATGCCCTGAATTATTCAATAATTCCCACAATTACACCTCAGCCTTACTTTAGTTCTTCTTTCTGGTCTCTACAGCTTTTTACATGCTAGTTGTGTGATCATATTGTTCACCTTGTTATATCACTTTTTAAGTACTTAATTCATGGTTCTGATGATGTTGCTGTGATTAAGAATTCTGCCTTAAGCACACTTGTCAGTTTCATGATTGCTGATGATAGGCAAAGTGGTCAGGTAACCCAAAGAGAGCCAGACTACATTGAACATGCTTTGTGATATGGGCCCCTGATGTGAAAGTGACCTTAGTTAAAGGTGGGGTAAGCAATTCTGGAGAAATCCAACACCATGAAAAATACCATGATAGAGAGCGAATGACACAGCAAGTACTGAAACTAACATTTGCTAAGTTGTGGGTCAGCAAACAGCTGTTACAGTTGCTGCTGCAACATGAAGCTAACACGTAGAGAGGGAAAACGGTCCCAGAGCCAGCAAAAGAGCAAACATGACAACAACAGCATGTCTTGGTGAACTAGAAAGTACCTGAACGTCTGTGAGTGAGTCATTTAACGTTACTAACTGGAATAGTGTTGTGTGGCGGGGTGAGAGCCACTTTGTTTGTTTCCCATTTACAGAACCAGGGTTGAGGACAAACATTGCAGATTCACTGAATTTAACAAAAAGACGTGTTTTGGATTAGAACTGCTTATTCCTCCTTCAATAGTATACTTTAGTTGTGCAAATTCCCTAACAAATTTGCTGAATTACTGAAATTACCACAGTCTAAAGCTGATGATACACAGAGCAACTTTTAGAGCAATGTTGCCGTCAATGGTAATGAGTAAAGATTACTACCGTAATCCCCTTCCCCCATCACTCCGCCACCCGCCCCGCACCGCCACTATCTGTTCAAAACATAGTTAGACTTGCCACCAGCAAGACTGCCCAGCAACATTGCTCAAAAAGTTGCCCCGTGTATCATCAGCTTAGGATAGATGGTGTGGTATGTCGGACAGAATGTAAAGCCCAACAGAAGAAACTTTTGATTTTAGACTATATAAACTTTATTTCACTTAACTTTATATGTAATTTTCCTTGACTAACAGCTGTTCTGTTGTTACTTTCCTGTTCACAAAACGTCAGGATTCTCAATCAAACATTAGTTATACTCATGTCCCATGGTTTCTGATAAATACTGAATGCTGCACTGTCCTGTTCTCCTGTTTCAAGCCACGATCTCCTCACGGCTCCAGATTATGAAGATGATCTTTGCTGGAAGATCATTCACGCAGACTAAATGCACAGAAATGAACATAGAGTAAAAAGGAATGGATGGTAAATAAGCTGTACTTCTCTAGTCTTCCGACCACTTAAAGCACTACATTCACTCTACCTCCCGAGCAACGTCTGCCCTGAGAGTAGCTTTGACATTGTCCATACCTGGGAGTAGACCCTGTTCTGCCAATGTCTCTGACTGGTCATGACTGCCCCGACCTGGAACATGCCGTGTGTTGCCGGCAGCATCCCAACGTCCAGTTGGAGGAACTTCTCTGGGTGGTTGTTGTTTGGCAGAACAGAGATGTCCATCCTGGCTCTCTCTCACTGACTGCATTACCTGCCGGCAGTCTGGCTGGGTGCACATGCTCACTACATCTTGCAAGCTCTGTAATAATTTATGAAGAGCAATTTATTTATGAGCCTGTATCACTTGCAGGTGTGTGTAACCCAACCTGACCATTAAGAGCCCGATGCTGAGAACAGTGTCAGAGGAGAGAGAGAGAGAGAAAGAGAGAAGTGGAGATCTGGTGCTTTAGTTTACGTAATCTGCAAAGTCATCAATTGATTTTTAATTAGGGCTGGGCAATAAAACAACTATCACAATATAATTTTCCTCAGTAATAATGAGAAATGTTCAATGAATGTTTGATTTCATTCATTTGAATCACGAACGAATTAGCACTTGATTTTTCTATTAAGATATTTATTTTGTTGAAGAAAAGGTACTGAAAAAAGAGAATATTATCAGGAGGTTAATCCATAATAAAAAATAATGATTAGGAACAACCTTATATAAAATAATTAAAATTAGCTCCACACTCAACCAGCTACAACAGTAAAATGCTGCTTACACAAGGATGCATGTGAAATTATACTCTAATGCTATAATATTTTACTGTATAACATTAACAGGGACGTCTGTGAAGTACCTCAGTCATCAAGGTCATAATTATCCAAGAAAAGTTAAAGTCAGTAGCTACTGGAATTGGCTGAAAATACTTGAAGACTTTTCTTCAACGGAATCCAGTTGTTATTGTTATTGATTGTCCTTCCTTGTATTACAGTTTCTCTCAATTCCATTTTTCTAAAAGCACACCCATTTCCCTAAACTCTACACACAAATCCCTTCATTTGTCATTGCCTACACCATGTGGTCATTGAGAAAGCACTAATATTCAATATTGTTCACTTAAGTCAGCACAGGTTGACCTCAGTTAGCACACACCTACCCAGGTGGAAACACAAACAGTCAAAATTGATAACACACCAATCAGAACCTTCATTAGATAAAAGGGCCAGAGTCAGTTCATTCAGATTTGGAGAAATGGATCCAGAGAAATCTGAAGGAAGACTCAAAGGACACCAGAGAGGAGGAGGAGGAAGATGAGGAGGAGGTGAAGGAAGAGAAACAGTAGGAGCTGGAGGAGGAGGAGGGAGGAGGTGGAGAAGAAGGTGGAGGAGGTAGAGGGAAGAGGAGTAGGGAGGAGGAGGGAAAGGAGGAGGAGGTGGAGAACGAGAATCTCTGGCCTGTCCCAGACCAAAGACAGGATGCTGGGGCAGAATAATTTGTTGTTTGGTGTGTTGAACTGTACAGTACACTAAGGAATAAAATATGTGCATTTGTAATTTCTTTTGTTATGTCCATCATGTGAAAAGTTTTTGAGGGGGAGAACCACAAGCAACATTACTAATAACCATTTTTTGTAGTATTGTTTTGAATTTATCCCACCAGCTTGTAAGACTGTGTTGTAGTGTGTGTGTGTGTGTGTGTGTGTGTGTGTGTGTGTGTTTTTGAGGGCTTGTGTGTTATGTCTGGGGGCAAAGAAAAAATCTTTCAGCAAGATTGAATGGTTTTGAGTGGAGAGCTTCATTTCCCCCTAGGATGTTTGGGGAATTAGCTGAGAAGTTGTGGATTTGTGTTTCGAGTTTTGATAAAAAGAGGCATAATTTCAAGAAATGTGTCTAAGCAATCGACAAAAACTGTAACAGAGACCATTTTTCTGCACTGAATACTTTTGTTTTTAATCATTAAAAGGTCCAGTGTGGAATATTTCTGAGGATCTAGTGACAGAAATACAATATAATATCCATAACTATGTTTTCAGTTGTGTATAAAGACCTTACATAATAAACCGTTTTTATGTTTTTATTACCTTAGCATGAGCCATTTATATGTAGATAACCGCGAGTCCCCTTACATTGGGTAATTTTCTATACTGACACAGGGTCGCCTCAATCATATCTCTTACTAGCCCCCACCCCCTCGGCTCTCTGTTTCTTGTGTTACGGCCCCCCCAAAAAATCTTCAGACGGCTGCTACCAAATGCGCGAAAACAATATATGTTTGCTACCGGGGCTGCAGTAGTTTCAGCATCAGTTGCAGTATCCGACGTAGAGCAGGCACAGGCACTTGAAGGAGTAAAGGGGAGCCGTGGCCACTGCCAGGCAGAGGAGGAGGCATGTGTTAGTAAGTCACATGGCAGAGGGAGAGAGAGAGCAGGAGGAGAGTGGAGGTGAAGCGGTAAGCATGGAGTAGCTCAGCCTGTAGGGAGGGAGGGTCATTTACACTGGGAACGCTGGGGACATGTAGGCTACCCACCAGTTTTTGAAAGCATATGTTAAAAATGTTCTGAAATATAGCTTGCACCAAGAAATGTTAATTAAACAAATAAAAATGCTATGAAAAAGGTTTATTTGCACAATAAGCCTGCAATGCAATGTAAATATAGAAGAAAACTCTGTGTGGTCCAAAAAAGGTAACGTAGGTTAAAAACAATAATAAGCTACTGATTACTGCATTATATTCTATTCTATTTTTATATTCTGAATTGTCACCTGCCACCTGAATTTTGTGCTTCCCTGGTGCAGAAAATGTCTCCAGAATGCAGGAAATTAAGGGTTTAATTCTCCAAATCTTGTGGGGGAGGACCACCAGGCTCCCCTATCAACTATTTCATCAATAAATTTTTTTATAAATAGTAGGCCTATTAAAATATATTCTTGTCTTGTTGTCATGCCCACAGTCTTGTGCAGTGTTACGTCTCATGGGCTAAGTGTTTCGTCACACCCTTAATCTGAGCCCTTAAATGGAAGGATGGTGTCCGACCGATTTTGGTAGGCCTCCTGGTCCAAAAATGCCGATTTCGAGAGCCCTCTAACCGAGGTCGCAATCCGAGCGATGAATGAGATTGTCTGTATAATTTGCCTGCACTAACAGCGCCACCTATTGTCCTAATTGCATCAAATGTTGTATATGGCGTCGGGAACCTGCGTTGAATAAACGGCTAGAGTTTCATATTAAAGGGAGTTGTGGTATCAGAGATAAAAAAGGAATGTATGTCTATGGGATTGTCATTTGATATCAATTAACAGCACCACCTAGAGGCCGATTGACAGCAAATTTCATCCAGACTCTCAGGAAGGCATGCCACATAAGGTCCCCAATGTTGGTTAAAATTGGACTTCCTAAACCTAAGATAAATGATTGTTAAGGTTTACGAATGTGCGATGTACTGGCACATAGTTATGAGGCAAAATGTCCCTTGGTTCAAAATGACATTCAAATGAATAGGATTTTCCCAGCTATAATCAGCTTCGATTATTGCGCCACATTAAAGCCAAATTGCACCACATTTTCAGGTGTCATCTGGGGCCCATAGAAATAACATCTGGCTGCGCAATGTAAGCACTTTTGGTATTAGTTTATTTGTGATCTGTCTGCTTGTGTCGGAGTTACATTGTTTATATTCTGAATTATTCCATCTTATTTTGATATGGCCTGTGTTTAGTGTCCAGTAGCCTGTGTTTTGTCTGTTCTCCCAGTAATCCCTCTGCCTGCCTGTCTCGTCAGTCCTGATCACTGTCATCTGTGTTGCTGTTGTTGTTTGGTGTTTCTGTTCAGTTCAGTTCATTGTAGCTTGTCGTGCTCTGTCTTGTGTGTTGCCCTCAGCCTGCTCGTTTCGTGTGGATTTCGATTTTGGATTTCCTTTGGATAAATTGTTTGTCTGGACAGTTGGTTATTTTGGATTCTTGAATTCTACCACTAGTAAGTGTGTACGACTTAAGTTTGTTTAATAAACCTCTGAACTCTGTACCTGCTCTGCTTGAGTCCTGCATTTGGGTCCACCAACCTTTAAACCTACCACACCTAATTGCTCAAGCCAAGCCCCCTGAGCTACAGTCCCTTCTCGGACCCTTCCCACCCATAGGGAACAAATTACCCAAATTTGGTATCAATTGGACCCATTCCTTATGGTTATGAAAATATAAAATGAAGGTAAGTCAATGGGAACGTCTTTAATCTGCAATAACAACATGACCTACGGGCCTATTAGGGTCAACTTTGGTCCCTGGAGTCAGGAGACCGTCATGAACAATTCGGCTTCAGAGTCATGTCAATGTGACTTGTGGTTATGAAGGAACAGATAATTGCTATTACACAGCGCCACCTAAAAGGTAATTTCACCAATAGCCCCTCAGGAGGGCGTGCCACATAAGTTCACCTAGTTTGGTGTAGATTGGCCATTCCAAACGTAAGATATGACATCACTTCCTCTTTTTTTGGGTTTCGTGCAAACATTTGTTAGCGTATAATTCGCATTTTTTGGTGGATCAAAATTTCCTTAACAAACTTTTTGCTTTGTCCATCGATGGTCTGTGCCAAGTTTGGTGCCGATCAGACTTGCGGCTTTGGAGGAGATAACAGACAGGGCACAGTGATCAGGGGTAGCAGACAGAAACTAACAACCAACAGAACAACAAACAACAGAAAGACAGAGACTAGGGGCCCGTTCGTCGTAGTTCGCTAAGTCACTTAGCTGGATTTGATTGTTGGAACAACTATAAATTAAGTAGTTATTTATGCACTTACAAGTACTTCCTCCAAAGGACAGTCATCTGAGAGGGTTTCTTCACTGTCCTGTGCAAAAGAAACTAATGGGTATTACAAAATGTTGCACTTTCTTTCCTTTTGATGTAAAGTTAGAAAAAGTCCACTTACTGCACATGCTTCAGCCACCACTTGCTTGGGAACAGGTAAAAGTGTTGGTGTATTATGTAAAACTGCACAAAAGAGGAGAACACAATGGCATTACAGTGAACTACACTAGGAAAAAATGTGATCAATAACATAACATAACATATTTTTACATTGTTATGTAGTTTTCACCTTCACAAGTCAAAGCAATTCATCACTACTCAATATTTATCAGTTGAAATGACTGTACCAGCCATTTGGATTATAGGCATACTTAATTTAATGCAGCAACAAATTATTTACAGTGTAGCAAGATAATTTAAAACTCTCTTACCAGTAATGAAGGTGTTGCTACTGGTCCCTGGCTTTTGGTCTAAGGAAGAGCTGCCCCCAGGGATGCTGCCGGGGTATAATGTGGGGGTGCAGGACCACCACCTGTTTTTTTTCTGCTCTGCCTTTTTCTTGGTTGCTGTTATAAACAGAAAAACACATAATTTAACATTTATTTTGGTAAAAGAGACTAAACAGTTGAAGTAGAAAAGATTACCATTTTGAAGAATGTTTTTGTATTTCACTTTTACTTGTTCCCATGTTCTAGTGGGTCCTGAGGTGGCTCTGACATTAAGCAATTATGAAATTATTAAAATACAAGAATATATACTGTAATAAGTGATAGAACCATAACATGGAGCACTTACACATTTAATTTGTCTGCAACTTTTTGCCAGCCCTCTCTCCTGGCTTTTGCACATTCTGAGGGTGTTCCCTGGTGTTTGAATTAAGTTTTCAAATTCTGTATATCCTTCTAGCAATGACTCTTGCTCTGCTGCGGAGAAAAACTGAGCGCGCTCTTTGGCCATGGTGAACAGCCAATAGCAGCGTTGCTGATCAATGTTTCTATTATCGATACATATCCCCTTTTAAACCAGCACATGAACGTGCAATTATCTCCGATAACTCAATCCAGCTGTACTAATCATAACCGGCAGGTGTGTTCGAAGAACCCAATTAGCCAGATCATGATTAGGCCGATGATATTATCTTGGATGTCTCATTTGATCTTGGATGTTTTAAGCAACGTACGAAGAACGGGCCCTAGGATGAAACAGTAGACAAGACCAAAATAATAACAAACACTGCAGTACACAGACCAGGAGCAACACTAGGACATGAACTAAGAACTAAGGCACAGTACTAAGAACTAAGATCAGAGACAAGACAGATAATAAGTAAACTTAAACATGCTAAAGAACAAAAGACAAAAACTTAGCTACAAAACACAAAACCCTAAACATTACAAGATCAAATAAAGCTTACAGAACCCAAAACCAAACCCATGAAAATAGACTAAACATGAAAAAACATGAACACAAACCCACATTCCTAACAGTTCCCAGCAAAGGTTTGCAGGCATTCATGTCAGTGATTTATCGCAAAATGTGGTTGATGGATTTTATTGTTGTTGTGGAGATGTGTCTGGTCTGGCATGCTGTACGCTTGTTGCCGTTGCCAGAGGTTGTCATTTACTGCGGCGTGGTAAGGAATTCTTTTTATCCTCGTGCCTTTCAGTGCATTGTTGTGCGGGTGGCACTAACAAGCGTTCTCTCATAGATCCGGCTTTATTTCGGCCATGGATATTCCCCGTGTGGATAGATGAACACCTGGGCTGCTGGCATTGGGTGCCTCGGTAAGCTGAATGCCTCCCTGTTCCGACCCGTTTGGTGTTTATCAAGATCTGACAGTCTTCTTTGTTATAGTTGGGTGCTGTGTGGCTGCGCGGATTGCTTTCCCCCCTGCCGGGGTCTGAGGGTGGCGTGTCCTGTAAAGTGGTAAGTACCTTGTTTGCCTGTTTGCAACAATTTATCGTGGCCCTGTTTTAATGGTGTGTTTTCACATCACAGCAGGACCGAGCTACAGCCGTGTGCATGCTGCTGTTGAGGCTGCCGGGTGCCATAGTTATCTAAGAGGTTAACACTCCCCGGCGTGTTACTCCTCCCACTCTTGCTGCTGTGGATATCGGTCTAAAACTGTGCTTTGCTGTGTATTGACACAATGTCTGGATATATGACTGTCCTGGATGCACAGAACTGGTTTGGAGCGATACATTTCAGTGTTTGAATATCCAGACTTTGGCTCTGTAAATATCGGTATCAACTGTCAAATGTGGGTTTTTGTTTTTTTTGATCCTTTAATTACACATGCGGGTTTGGTTTTTGAATGGTGTGGGGTTTTTTTTTGTTTTTTTCTCTAATACGCATTACATACCTTTTTAATAGAGCAGGTGTTGCTATTAATATGACAAAAGAAAATTGCATATTTTTTTATAATTACTTTATTGTCTCTGCCCCCTAACTTTTGATAAAACGATCTGTGTGCTTTAAAGGTCTTTGGTCTATCCCAAGTGGCATTGTTGAACATTTTCAGCTTCGAAGTGTCATAGGCCACTTGTTCTGCCACAAAAGGAAGCATTGAAGCACCTTTCCTTAGCATTTAGAGAATCTGATCAGCTCTTATCATGGCTGCCACTGAAAGTTCCCATGAAATCAAAATCGATTATTTGCTTTTATTGCATATGCTTTGCACTATATATAATACTAGTATCTGGGCCAACAATGATAAAAGTTGTTCTTGATGTTATTTTAGAGTTTGTCATTCCCTGAAAAACTATTTTAAAATGTTGATGAATCTTGCACTTGGGGCTGTGTATTAACTGCGCGTCCAATGAAAAGCTTTCCCATTTTTTAATGCATTGTGTTTCTGGGGACAGGTAGGCCTCACTGGTTACTGTACAACAACACATCTTAACTGATTTTGGTGAAACTCAGTCATATTTGATGGGGAGAAAAATATTTTCTGGTTCTCTCTCTGATGTCTTCCGGCTGCTTTGCCTCAACTTTCTGTGATTTATGGAGCTTACTGATAAACTGCTTTACTTGTTGCTAAAGTAACAGCCAATTGCTACTAATTAGTTGCTGTTATCTAGTTAGCTGTCATATTAACTTAATAGCTGACTGTGCCTGAGCTTGGATCACTGGCGAAGTGTTAGTGTTTAAACCTCTAACGTTACTCAAGCTCTGGAGGTTTTCAGACGAGTCTATGGCCAGGGGCGGGGGACCCAGCAGGGAGTGATGGCAAGTAGCAGCTCCAGAATGGGCGCCTGGAGCGGACAACAAAACCGCACTCAGCAGCCTCCCAGTGAACACAGCCTCAAAGACCAACAGGGAATACAGCAACGTTAGCGAGACTTGAATTGTATCTGTCTGCATCTGTAGCAAGGTAACTCTGTTAGCTGTGCAGCTATGCGTCCCATTAGCTGACTCCGATCCCGGGGTTCCTAGAACCAAACCCGACAAGAAAACCACCTCTGTATTGTATTCTCTATGGTCAACTTGGCCTCTGTCGGTCTCAAATGTGTTGTGTCCCGGCCACTGTGTTCACTTGGGAGCTTAAACCAGTCCGCAGAGAGTCTGCATGACTTGGGGGTTTGTGTTTTAACAGGAAACGTGTAAATATCCTGAAGCAAATAGCACTCCACTTTACATTTCATTGGAACTTTAAATATTTCCAGGTCACTTCACTCAGTTAGGAACCTTCCTAAGTAAAAGACTTTTCGACCGCAGCCAAAAGGTTTTGCACCGGTTGTAAGTAATATTACTTTACTTATTAGGGGAGAGTAGGGTGAGTGGGGCCAGTTTTTTACTTGAAGTGTCTTTAAAGTGAGGACATGACAGTAATGTGGCCAACTAAAATATGTACATATTTTAGGATGTGGTGCATTCCGGGGAAAAATCCATTTGGATCTAAAATAAGTTGAGCCACATGGGGGTTGGGGACATCAATGTCATTTGCTGTCCGCCCAAAGCTTTAGGAACCTTGACTATAGCTTAATAATTGCACAAATTTCTGGTAATTTGTTAGTAATTAATGATTCAAATATTCAAAATCGTTGAGTTAATCAGTCAGTCTCAGATCTGAGGGCGAATCCTCTGTACAGGGACCAAGGACGCTAAACAGTACACACACACAAATCACTATAATCAAGGTGAAATTTATTGACTGACTAAAGGGAATACAACAGTGTGAGTAAATGTGGGAATATTAGAGGAATAACAGTCAAACCAGAATGTAATGAACAGAATATGCAGTAAGACCAAAATCAGGATAATGGGCTCAATGGAATTTCAGTTTGGTGTTAGTAAGTTATGTTGCAAATTGAGTTTAAATAAACTAGGGGATTAGGACCAACTATAGGGCACCAACCAGTCACAGAATGTAGTTTAAGCATTACTTTTGTCGTTTTCCCCCTCTGGCCAAGGCTCGCTGTCATCTGGCTCGTTCTTTGGTCAGACCCCCGGGTGCTTAGCACGCTACCTGGCTCCTTGAGCAAATTTTAACCGACGGATTGTCAGGAGTCCCTGACTGACTGGAGGTTGTGGGAAAGACGCTTGCAGTAACTGGTTTGGCGCTCTGAGTTCGGGTTGTTGTCGCTACAGCTCAGTGGAACACACTCCAACTTTATCATTGGAGCAGCGGCTTAGTTCAACCCGAGATGAGGATTGAAAGAACTTTCTGGGTTAAAAGTTGCGTAAAATGGTCGGATAACTTAAAACAACAAAATCAAATAAAACACATACATTCGTCGTAGGTTCGCGAGGCCCAGGGAATATAGGCTAGCAGTGGCGTGGGGTGGGGTAAATTTTTGGGGAAGCCAAGTGAAAGGGGATGTCCTTTTTGGAGGGCAATTATCTAATGCATTGTGCTATTACAGTGCAGGGTATAAATTTATCAAACTTTAAAGATGCGCACTATCTGTTATCAATACACACGCTGAAAGTTGCCTTTACCGAGACTCTCTCTCTCTCTCTCTCACCCACCCCAAATAGCATACACAGCCCGCTGCTTATGGTGCAGGTTAAGAATAAAAGGAGCATTCACAAGCTCAATCAGAAGATGATTGAAGACATTTGCATAATAGCAGTGGTGCATGTATCAAATAGGCCTACATATTTCTTAATGCTTGGCCAAATGTTCATACAACACAACATCACTGAAGACTAACAACCGAACACCAGACGGACAGAGTATAGACAATTATTCAGGTAGCCTAGCCTGGCCCAGTGCCCTGTGGCAGGTGCTGTCTCTGGTGCTCATTATCTATGCGTACACAACCGCAGTAAAAACAATATGGTTACTTCAACTGACTTTTCATTCAGCAGCTAAATCCAGGCAAGCAAAGCAAAACAAACATAACCACACCAAAAATCGCACAAATGGCTGCAGTTCAGTTAAGTTCAGAGAGAGAGATCTAAAAAGGAAGGCCATTCTCCTGTCTGTCATGGTGGCAAAGTGGTCAATAACCAAGTTACAGAATTTCCCACTGGCTTTTCATCCTCCGCAACAACAGTCAGTCGAAGTTTGGCACTACTATCTAGCCACACTGTACGGATATAAGTTTCCTCAGTGTCCAAAACCCCTTTTTTCTCTCCACACACAGCTCCAGTTTTGACGTAGGTCTTCCGTCAGATTTAATCTAATGTTGCAGCTGTAGTGATAGTTTAGTAAAACTATTTATTATAACTAAAAACTCAAAATCTCCATCCTCCATAACCGCACCAGCTAAAGTTCCTAACAGCTCCCGTTATTTCATCTGAATGACGTTGATCGCGTGCTGTGATTTGATTGGCATGAAGCCAGACAGCGGCTCATCCTGACTAATCACAGTTGGGCATTCTGTGGGGAAATAATCAGGTGAGCCAGGGCTGCGTGGTACTTTTGATGTTGATGGTAATTTGTGGTTGGAAAGGGGTTTTCATGCCCTTTTGCTGTCCTGGAGAGTGTCTTCAGTGACACCTTAACGGTGAGACTGGTTTGGATAGTTCCTGAATAACAATCCTTCAGTGATGCATGTCTGATTGTCTATGCAGGTCCTTACCATGGGGATGTCTCTAGTTTGTATATCAAAGGCGAAGGAACCCCCCCCCCCCCCCTTTGGCAGAATCTGATCTTACCTCATCCTTGAGGTGAGAGGCTGGTTGATCCACTACAATTGCAGTAAACTAGCTGGCTCAACTTCCCCCAGGTCTTTTGGCTCATATTACCCCATCGCTGCCATTTTAACAAAACTGTGTCATCCAGCAGTTTAAGGGTAATGTCATGCTAACAATATAACCTCATATTGTAACTTCCTAAAGCACTGACACATTTCTCAAAGCTATCTGTATTTGTTCAGACACAAGAATCAGGACTCCTTGAACATAAAAAAAACACTTTGAAAGGCAAAACAGTTTTTTGAACTTAAATGTGCTTATCACTTATTCCATGGGCCTCTCTCCATCACAGGGTGAGTAAAACAGATGACTCAAAAATGTGTGGTCACATAAACAATTTTGTCTATGGTTGCCGAGAAGCCAGGGGTGGCTCAACTTCTCCATAGGCTCAAATAACCCCTCTCTCCCCTACTGGGTGATGAAAGTAATTAGTTACGTTACTCGTTGCTTTACTATATATTACTTTCACAACCCCCTCAAACAAAGCAATCTCTCCTGAACTCTCGACTTTTTAACTAATATCATATTCATAACATCAGCAAGGATTAACTTAATGCCACCAGATGAAATAAAAAATAAAGCAAGAGTAAATCCTAACTTTTGAACTACTGTTTTTCTGCACATGTATTTATAAGAGCAGTATTCAGTGTTTCCAGCCCAAGCATCACTGGCAGATGCGACCAGAGTTTCTTTCTGAGTTTCACGTTGCTGTGCTGCTTCTGCAGATGCATCAATAAAATAGCGGTTGAAAGCCTTTTGCTGGTTGCACAAAGTTCACAACGGACGACAATTTTCTTTGCATGTTAGACTGTGAGACCATAATCGCAGTAGCCTACTTACAGCCAACTTAGCTTCTTGGCTAACAGCTGACTTGAACAACATAAGGTCACGTCAAGGATGGTGCGTTCAGTAACAAAGTAACGCAGCGTTTTGCTAAGTTTTGTCGGAGCTGACCTCAGCCCTGGAAGCCCGCTGCACAATGTTTCGAGGAAACTAGTCACTCAGTCTGGAAACCGTAGCAAACCAGTGCAAAACTTTTGGAGCTTGAACTTTCCCCTGGTTCACCAGCATGGGAATGTCACCAGAGACACCAGTTTTATTTCGTATAGGCTTCGCCATCTAAGGCCATCGCTGTTGGTTTACATCTGCGTGCGCCTGTGTAGCACTGATAAATTTTGTCTACACCCACCCACAGCGTGGGCCTCTCCTACGTCCGCACCTTGTATTTATACAATGGTGAGACCCAGCCATCAGCTCCCATTTTTCTTCAGCACTGAGCTGCCTAAAGATCAGAAGATCTGCCTAAAGAGCAAAAGATTTCCAGCTGGGAAACAAGTAGAATGATGTCTTCCAGCAAGCCGGCCAGAACGGGGTGAGACGCCGCTACAACCGGTGTCTGCCACATGGGCTACATCGTGCTGGGTGATCTCCAGAACACCTGCCCTGTACAGATACTCTTCACTGACACTATCCTTCTGTGCATCCAGGGGTAACCATTTGTTCACAGAAGGCAGGCTGTGCCATATGAGCCCACGAAAGCGGACATTACGGATGGGGTACACACTATTGCCACTCCTCAGCGAGACCACCGCGGCCCCAAGAAGGACCACCAGCACCACGGTGGGCCTGAGACTGCTGCAGACGCAGCTCCCTACACCGTCAGCTCGGGCTCCCAAGGTGCCAGGGGTGGCCTACTCACGTTTCACGTTCCTGTCATCCCAGAACACAGGAAGTTCCTGCGCCTCTCTTTGCGGGGCGTCCAGTACCAGTAAAACCGCCTGCCATTCGTTACTCTCTGGCCCCACGCACCTTCTCCAAGTGCATCGAGATGGCCTTGGAGCCACTGCGACGGACGGGCATCAGAGTCCTGTTTTACCTGGACGACCTGCTGCTGCTGGCACGGTCCCGGGACGAGGCGTTGGTGCAGACGGCCAAGCTTGTTGCACACCTGTCTTGCCTGGGGTTTCACGGTGAACTGGGAAAAGTGCTCCCTTTTCCCTCCCAGACACTCACCTACCTGTGCGTGGTGCTGGATTCCTCTCCTTCCTGGATGGCTCTCCCAGGAACGTGTGGACTCCATGTTGCTCCGCCAAGGGTGGTGAGGGCGCTTTCGGTCGTGAGGCTTCTGGACCTCGTGTCAGCAGCTCACGTGGTGGTCCCCCCAGACCACCCGCTCATATATCTTGCCATTGAAGATATCTTGAAGAACACTGTTTAAGAATTTAATCTGAGTCCTTATGTCCCCACCACTTCAAACACAAAGTACGTTATTTGGATGATGCTCGCTCATGAGTTTAAGTGTACAAGCACACGCCTGGTTGCAATCTTAAAACCGCACTGCTAGTGGCCGCTGAAAACTACATAATGCCCCTTTAAGTAAAGGATGGGCCATATCCTCCACCACCAAAACCTGCTGCTACCTGAATAAAAAGCCCAAGAAAACCAGCAAATATTTACACACAAGTGAAACCAATTAATTTTTGTCATCAATTATCAAAACTACTGTTATTTCCTGCAGATGGACTCGAATAATCGGGAAAACGCTCTAATCCTGATGTCTGATGGCATGATGGGGGGGGGGGGGGGGGGGGGGGTGTTACTAAATTGAACCTTCTCCTTCCTGATGGGAGTAGCCTATGCTCTATAGATTCACTTTACGGAAATATGTTCGTCACAGGGAAACAGATGGAAGATGGAGGCAATCACGGCCTTCTTGGTGGAGGTTTGAAGCGTCACTCTGTTAGTGCTGCAGACGCCATGGAGGCAGAGAGAGAGAGAGAGAGAGAGAGAGAGAGAGAGAGAGAGGGTGTGTAGTGATTGCGGTCACATAGATGTGGATGGTGCAGCAATCCACCAACGATGTGACGTTAGGGAGGAGGAGAGAAAAAATCTGCGAGTCTGACCAATAAGGCGGATATTGCAGTTTTACCTTTTGCACATGTCGGATGTCGTCATTGGGAAACCACTATCGCACTGCCTCACATCGCATCCCTGTGAAAAAAATGGATAAGCACAGACTGGGAGTCCGGACTGATCCGGTAAGACATGGAGCTTTTTATTTGCAGTAGCCTACCGTGTTGTCGTGCTCTGTACAGGGCTGCTAGACACAGGGAGACTCGGATCAGAATATACATTTAACCCCACTAACAGCAGCCATCGTGGTGGATTGTCTCCCCTAATAATTTCTGTTTAATTTGACATCGCTGCGACGGTCATACAAACTGAGCAAGATATGAATTGTACACTCAATTTTTGGATTTGTGCACAGCAAATCGCATGTAGGCCTATATATTCGGAGCTTGCAAAGCGTGTCGTTCTGTTTGTGACTGCATGTTCTGAGCACAGGGGTGCATTGGCTGATAATGGACAAATGTGTTCCCATCCTCGAACACTGACATCATCCTCATCAGGATCGTGGCTCTAGGCAGCAGCTTTTCATGCAGCAGCAGTCAGGATATACTACGCAGTGTTTCCAGTTCAGCGCATCAATGCGACGTTCGTTCAGACTTGATGCATTACCCTGCCACCCAGATGCATTTAATTTCAAATAAGACAGGCCATAAGCACTTCACTGTTGCAGGGTTACAGAGATTGCATGGGCTGTTCTGTCATGAGAAAACTGTCAGAATAACATGGCCAGATGCTGCAGGGATGTACAGAGGCCACAATATGTGTGCAGATATGTGTGCAGATAGATGTGTGTATTATATACAGCTACAGCAGTCAATTTTATAATTAGAATTTTTGTTTAACATAATTACAAACGTGCATTAATTTACATTTATAGCTTAATTGAATTACTACAATTCAATTACAAATCATTATTTTGTGACTTTTAGCTTTTACACCACTATCATAAATACAAATTGCACCTTTATGGTAAAATAGTTGCTTCTGCCCATATACCAGATGAACAGCCCAAGTGTTCAGTTGATAATAATATGAAATATACAAAAGCGGGAAACCCTCAAAGGAAATTGCAGCAGAGGCCAAACCCAATACAAATCTAATGCCTACAAACATATCAATCAGGGAGTTAGTCACTTCAGTTGATTCTTTTAACTTTTTCTACATTTTCTTATGACTAATTGTGAAAAAGCTGGCTCAATGACCCATGATGTACTTTATGAAGGTAAAATTCACCTCAAAGCCCATAATGACATGCTGATAGCAATGTTTTGTCATAACCAGGTGTGGATAAATGCCTGTGGAGAAGAACACCATTGTAGTTCTTGAGATCCCTCTTGTATGTCACCAAGTCACACACAAAGTCACTATTTCAATCCAATCAAATATTTGTTGTGACATTACAATCTGGACTATATGTTGGCCTGACCAGCAAACCAACTAGTGCACTACGGTTAGGTGGCATAATAATACAATGGTAGCAACCACCCGTAATTCACTGCTAAAAAATATATTAAACCAAGCTAACAGTGATGAATTGACTCTCAGTATAATCTGTTTTCTCACATGTGAGCAAGTGTACATGCACACTAGTATCTTGTGAACATAGAGTAAGCTCTCTCTTATATCTCTGTAAAACTCTTATCAGTCTGCTGTCCGTGCAGTTGTGTCTTTGACTCGTCCACATATTTGCCAATCTTGCATGTCTATAGTCATTTCAGGAGCTGATGATAAAGTCTGCATTAAACACTGCTGCAATAAACCCTGTTTGCAGGGTTTGGTTTCTTCATCTCATCAACAGTAGTGGAAAATGAGAGCAAGAAGTTTATTCTCTATCTTTGTTAGCTATGCCAACTCATAGATCATTACATTTTTATCATCATATTGTTTGTTTTTCTGACTAGTTACTACATCATTTGAAGTTGAATTCCACCAACATTTGCAGACATATTACTGCTGATGCACATTAAAATTTCTCAAAACCAAGATAATGACTTACCAGGTTCCTGTAGCTTTAACGGGACACTCCTGAATATATTACACTGTGATTTTACTTGAAGAAGGTTGATACATCCTTTGAAGTGTAAAAATTATTGCAGACATTAGTTTCCGCTGACTGTGCTACTCCACTGGAGCGACTGTTGTCACAGGAAAAACAGCTGTTTCTGTATTTTGTTTTCTTGAGTATATAGCCAATGTATGCGGGAGTTTATGTACAGGTGCATGATAAGATTTCCTGATATATGAAAATAATGCTTAGTCAGGGATAAGGAATGCCCAATATTTAACTATAAAGTACAAGGCAGATTTATTTATCATTTTACAACACAGGTTAACAATGAAATTAAGTTTTAGTGCCCTTTATGCTACTCAGTAAAAGCAATTTATATACAAAAATTATATACAGTAGATAATAAGTATAAGAATAAGAAATAAAGCAATTTTACACTGAGCAGTGCTGAGGATGAATAAGGGAGTCTCACATCTTTAGGCTCTGCAATCTGATGGTGCGGCAGCAGAAACTTCTATATCTCTTCCCAGAAGGCAGCAGGGTGAGCAGGCTGTGACTGGGTGGGGACTGTCCTTTAGTATCCTTTGGGCTCTGCAGACACCTCACCTCACCAATATCACTGATGCTCAGGAGATGGGTACCAATGATCTTCTGAGCAGTTTGAATCACCCGCTGCAGAGCCCTCCGGTCCTGGGCGGTGCACATCCCATGTTAGTGATGTTTCCAGTCAGGATGCTTTCTATTGCTCTATTTCCATGCTGCCGATGATGGTGGTGTCGTCCACCAACTTCACAACAGAGTTCTCTCCATGTCGGGGGATTCAGTCGTGGGGTGTACAGCGTGAACAGGAGGGGGCTGAGCACACAGCCCTGAGGGGCTCCAATTTTGAGCACTACAGGGACATGCTTCTCTGCAGCATTTTGCAGGTCTGCAGGTTTTTAGTACAAGGCCGCCAGGGATATTATCAGGCCCCGCAGTTTCACTCACATTCACTCTAAGTGGGACTCTTCTCACATCTGCTGTGGATACTGAGAGTGGCCATTGTTCTGGAGGTGGAGTAGACTTTACAGCTGGCCCAGTGTTGATGAGATCAGAGTGAGCATGCTGCTTTTGTGACCTGTGATATTTTTGATCACCTGCCACATATCTTTGGTGTTGAGGTCTCTCTCCAGTCTCTGCTGATGTCTCGCCTGACGTCTCCACTCCTTGATGCCAGCTTTCAGTCTCTCTTGCGGTGCTGTAAGCTTCTTTATCACCCGACCGAAAAGCAGTTTTTTTGGCTCTGCAAAGAGCCCTCACCTCTCCATTCATCCAGGCTTTCTTATTGGGGAATGATTGTATTGTCTTAGTGGTTACCACATCATTAACATATTTGCTGATGTATGATGTCACTGATTATGTACATTCCTCCATGTTGATGTGGTTCTCCTGGGTGGCGGCCTCTCTGAACATGTGCCAGTCTGTGCACTCACAACAGTCCTGTAGATCTGCTGTAGCCTTATCTGTCCAACAATTCCATATGTGGTAAACACTGTCTATCTCTACATTGGAGCGCGAGTTGAGCACCAAGCTTCACTGATGTAAACACAGAGACCTCATCCTCTGGTCTAACTGGAGTCTTGTGTTCTCTGCCTGTCAATTGCAATAGCTTGGATGTTGTGGTACAGCCAGGTCTCAGTAAAGATGAGGGCACAGCACGAGGTCTCGAGGTCCGCTGCACTCGATCCGATCCCTGCACTTCCTTTTCCTACATGGATTAGTGTTCTTCTGTCATAAGTTATATAAAGGCTAACAAATTATAACAAAAATGTAGTGAAATGTAATTGGCCACCACATCTGCATACATGGTTCATTAACTATCAATAACTTGTCCACATCATCCCCTTACCTTAACAAAGTTTTTTTAGCTCAGATATTGTTTAAAATGTGGTAATTGAACATTGTCCAGTATCAATATTCCGTCTGACGATAAGGTTACGGCTCTGTTCGAAACAGAAGTCAGTTGCCTCGCTACTGTAATAGATAGGTTCCTCAGAAGGCGTAACTTTCGAGTGAAGGCATTTCTATGAATATTGGTTTCAAACAACCTTTTATTTATTGTTTTGAAATAGGCTACTAGAGATAGGTAATATTAATGGCGTTCACATTATCAACACTAGTGTTTTCCATAGCCAACTAATACATCCCTTTTCCTTTACCTCAAGTAAACGTAGCTCAAGTTCGGCAAGTAACAGTCACTGACAACTCACAGTTTCACTATGTATCACTAACTACGCTGAATCAATCTTCCTTCGCCATGTCTGTGTGTGGCTGTGTGTGCGTTTCTCTCTGGCAGAGCAGCGATGAAAGGCAGCCTCCCTCAGGGTCCTAGTACCGGACCACAGGAGGGATTTAAATTATGAAGCAGAAGAATGAACCAGAAGTATTATTTTAAGTCAATAAATACAAATTCTATTGTATTATTCTATTGTATTTATCAATTTTCTTGCTTCTCTTTGTTGAGTACATGTCTGCACTGTAAAAAAACCCAAATCTAATAATTATTTTTCTTATTATTATTTGCGGGGGCTTAGGGCCATGTTAGGGTGGCTTCAGCCCGTCTAAAATAGGCCTAACGATGTCGATGCTGACGTCGCAGCCTTAATGGGACAATGGTGGCCATCCACCAACCATCCACTACTCCATCCATCTGGACCATTCAGGGTTGCACGGCATTCATCAAAAAAGACTGTTTGAAAATTATTCTTCATGTATTTCTGAGCGCACTGCAAACATTTCTGTTTGTGAGCATTGGTTAGGGGTAGCCGAATAGTAGGTTTATACACAACTGTAAGTTGTAGTAGTTTTGATTTAATTGGGCCCACCTGGCTAACTAATCATCAAAGATGTCTGAGATTGATTTCAGTGATCCAAAGACCCTGAAGTCACAAAACATGAGTTTGATTGAAAAACTAAATATTAATGTTTATGACCCTTAATTCCAATTTGCATAATAATTGGGAGCGCGGTGTATGGGTAATAGACAGGATCGAGTCAGCATCAAAGCTGCTTTCAAAACTGACCGTTACGGGGACTGTTTGAAGGCATCTTATGAGACAGGAAAAGATCGTTCGATCCGTT